GGAAAAAACAAAAATAACCCCCCAAGCCTAGACCACCATCATCTCCTCTCTCGTTTTTTCGATTTGTTCGACCCCCCCACCCGGTGAAAAATACCCGGGTGGGTCTTCTGCTGCCACGTGTCTCTTTTTTGTATTTTATAATAGATACACCCGGTGTTTTTCACCGGGTGTATCTATTATAAAATACAAAAAAGAGACACGTGGCAGCAGAAGACCCACCCGGTATTTTTCACCGGGTGTAGGGTCGAACAAATCGGAGAGACGAGAGAGGAGATGATGATGGTCTAGGCTTTGGGGGCCATTTTTGTCATTTCCTAGGCCAAAAAGTAGAAAGAATCGCAGAACCCGCGATTGGAACACACGATCTGCTCTGATGGGGTCTTTTGCCTTTGACTAATAAGCACGGGGGGTATTTGCTAATTTTTTTTATGACAGGGGGGAATTGCACAGTTACGATTTTTACAGGGGTAGTAAATGCAATAATTCTATGTTTTAACTATTAAGTCTTTTTTGGGCATTTTCACAAACACTCTGGATTACTAACTTCCTAAATTGAGTATATTAATGAAGGGCATTCCAGTCATTTTAACCTCTCTTCTTTTTCCTATTAGTAATGAATTATTCTCTTCATTCATTTACTAATATATAAATCTTTTGAATTTTTATTTTTTCCATAAAATAAAGTTCATGTTCAATACTATTTAAATCACTCCACATTAATTTCATTTTTATCTACCACCACTCCATTACAAAGTGCATAATGTTCGTATTATACAGTTTCATATTACATTTTTTATCCTTTCTTATATATTTTTATAATTAATATGCATAGTTTTATATTCACAATTATTTTTATATATACATATGAGTATTATTTGTCGTTCTTTGTTTTGGGTTGTTAATTTTAATATACTTTTGTAATTTTTTTCATGCAGTTTATTATACAAAGTCGTTCGTACTTTATGGCGACCAAAACAGTTGTTTGCGCTCAGTCCAAATTATGTGTTCTTTACAATGCTTATTTTGACTCTAATTTCGATCCATGTATGTGAGTCGCATGTAGGGAATCAATCAAAGTCGTTCAACGCTCTGTATCTTGCATTGTATGTGGGATGACTGAAATGGAAGATCTCAAATCTTTATTTTGTTGTGGTTTATGCAGTGGGGCTTTTACACATGAATGATGTATTCCTGCCAATGGATCCACATGGAGGTGTGATTCATGTGATTGGTTATTTAATATGTGTATGTATGTACCAACCCTTTGCAATTCAAGAGAATCTCAATATTGATGATGTTGAAAGTATGGACAATAGCTCGATATGTTATTTTACAAAAATCATTACGCGTTATGATCTGCACAAAAGTTGAATTCCAAACCTAATTGATTGACATTTGTCAAATTCAAATGATGACATGTCCTCAATTTCATTACATGTGTCCATTTGATTGGTTAAGAAAAATTATCAAAAAACATGTCATCATTTTGTATAATTATTCACTAGCATTTTCCCCCGTGCGGGATATTATTTAAATAGTGAAAAAAATAATCAATTTAATACATAGTAAGAAAAAATATAGTACGCTAATATAGTAAAATTTAGTATTATTCATATTTTATATAACATTAGTTTTTTTAAATCTTACACATTAAGATTTATAATGCAAATAAATAGGCTAAGATTTAACAAATCGAATAACTTTATCTCTTAAGATTTGAGATATATTGGTGAAAAATAGGAGATTAATAATGTTGAAAATTATAGTTAAAAAATTAGTAGAGAAAAAATATTAAAAATAAATAATAACATAAGTACCAATAAATAGGATTCTTCATGGGTTAGTTTTAATTTTGATAATTGTTAAAATTTAAGTTAGAAATTAATAGAGAAAAAAATTTAAAATAAATAATTACAGAAATACCATCAGGGTTTTTAGGGTTGGCCAACGTTTCTTTCTTTTATATATAAGATATAAGATATGATATATAAGATGTCATTTACTATAATTATTAACTTTATATATAATATTAATTTGTATATATATAGTGATTACCAATCAAACTATAGGTATGGCATTTAACAAATCAACACCAATTTTAATTTCACACGTATCATATATATATATATATATATATATATATATA